TTGTGGCCAAGATCACAATGTATAAAGGAAAAGATATGCACAATGTGGGCTGAATTCTCTAGAATGATAATGCAAAAGAAACCTTGCTCTTTCCAAGTCTGAGTCTAGCCCAGATTTTGAAGTTGTATGGTTCTTACTTCGGTGCAAACAGGAAACCGTAGAAAGGGTATTCAAGGCTGTCTAAACTTAAGCTGATGTTTGGGGAGATAATACCCTTTACTGAGTAGGTTTTAAAAACCCCACCAAACAAAATTAAGTATACCAAATCATTAGCATGAGCCCTTTGGTGATGTTATTGCCAGTTCTGTCTGGTAACTTCATATGGGCTAAAAATGTAAATTGGGTATTTCAGTACAATGTATTAAGATGCTTCAGTTTCTTTTGAGAAGACACTATCTGAGCAGATCCATTTTAGGGGAATGCTAAATAAAAAGCTAAATGGCAGCTTTCTAGGTCAGGAGCTGTCAGACTTCCATAATTTTAAACAGTTTTAAGCACTGCAATATTAATTGAGTGTGTGTGTGCATATGTACATGTGTGTGTGCTGTTTTAGAAAATTTTACAACAGGGATTTAAAGCCTATGATTTAGCAGTAAAAAATAATTCCTCATGTATAAAGTGCACAAACTCAGGGTTTTTATTTTCTTAAAGGTAACTTCAGTTGCATTTTTTTTTAAGTACAAGCATACTTTTAAGAACTGCATTTAGCTGTTGACTAATGGCTCTTTTAGTTCTTCATGAACTAGGTAATGACTTTGCATAGAATATCAAACTCAATAGAAACAACCACAGTAATGGAAGAATTCTTTGTCTTAAAGTTATATTAAAGGAAACTGACAAAATTGAAAGCTCTATAAAGAAAATATCACCAGGTTTTGATGAATACTACCTCTTTTAATGTGCCTGCTAGGTGTTCTTTTTTCCCTATTTTTTTCCTAATTGTTTTGTGGAAGGTTCATGAAGGAATTTCTGATTATTTTTGACAGCTGAAACATAAAGCACATAATGGGAGCTATAAAGCCATGTAAAGGTCTGTAATAAATTCATATATTGCCACTACAGATTTCTCTTAGATCTTAATGTCTCTTTTGCACTCCAGATGCCATCTCAGAAAATAAACTTCCTACAGAGCATATGGATCAAATTTTAGCCAGCAGGGAGAAGAACTGTTGACTTGGCACTGTGTATTTGTGACCCACAGAGTACCTTCACAGACAGCCAAGTCATCAGTTTCAGTTTCTGCTAGGCAGTGGTAGCTCTGACTTCTGAAGAACACCTTCTTTGCATGTGAAGTCTGGATAACTTAACTCTAGGAATGATGAATGGGTACTGCAAGTGCCCGTAACTTTGAAAATTCAGAGCTCAGCACTGGAACTGCAGCAATCTTATTCTTGAAAAATGGATGAAGGGACTGAAATTGTGTAGAACACTACAGAATCACTTAATGGGCCCCTACTCTGGTGAAGTCCTTGAACTAAGACAGTCAAACCAGAAGCAGCATACCAAAACATACACAATCCGCTTGGTGAGAAGAGTGAAGGATGGGGAAACCACCAACACACAATGGTAAGAAGCATGGAGCTCAGATATCACAGGTGTGAACACAGAATAAGAACTGAGTAGAGTGTGGTCACAACCATCTTAAAATTAGCTCTGTTCTTTCATCCATCTCCCTGTTGTTTTAGAATCCTAAAGTTTTTACTTTATGAGCTCCATATAATTCAAAATCAGGACACCTGTCATTTTTGATGCCTCTGTGCAAATTCTTGCAGTCCTATCTGATCTTGAGGTTCAGTCCTGAGTGTTATGTAGATGTGCATGCTGTATACTGCTCTTTAAAGAAAAATATCTACCAAATGAAATGTGGATCATAGCAAAGCACGATACAGAGAATGTATTTTATTACCTGGGTTGTAAAGTAATTTAGTATTGAGTTGCTCATACAAAAAAGTTTGCTAAGAGTAATATAAATTTATGCAGGGCCAAATCAGTAATTTTAATCCAAGAGATTTTTTTTTTTTTTTTAAATCTCTGATCCTTCAGTATTGAAATGAAAGTTAATTTTAAAAGACCTGTATTAATACCAATTTAAAAAAACAACTTAATTATAAATTTGATTTTTTTTCCCCTAAATAACAGAGCACAGAAAGGACATCCCCAGCTCTCTGTCCTAATTTGCAAATCACAGGTATTTATTGATAGCTCATCTTAGTGTGGCTTGTCTTAAATCTATCACGAGTTTTTGTGCTGATAAAAGAACATGCTAACAAGGAAATTCCTTTTCCTATTCTATCATGTCACTGAGCCTAATGCTTTATACAGGAGACACCTGCACTCTCATACTTCAGCACTCAGCTTTCTGTCAGGGAGCTGCTGGAGACCTTCAACTAGGAAACAGTAACATGAAGCTCTTGGTAAGGAACTGTGTTCATGTCTCCCTAAAGTTCCTAATTCGTATCAAAGGAAAACCTGTCAGTTAAGTGTTATGGGAGCTGTGGGATTAGAAGATGTGTCTGTTTTGAAAGCTAATTCTGCATTTGACCTTGGAAGATTTCCCAGCCACAGTAGTATTGCTAGTGTGTCTTCCAAGCCAACTGGAAAGTCTAGGTTGTATGTCTGGGTGAGAATTAAGAGAGGGAAAAGAAGGCCTGGGAAACAGGAAGGAAAAATGACAACAGATACCAGAAAGAGATACTCAAAAGCCATCTGGAGGTAGGGCTGGGGCAACCAGCTCTAGGTGACCCTTCTATAGCACAGGGCAAGACAAGTCCTTTCCAACCTCAGTCACCCTGTGATTGCAGGGAGGATGGGAGAGGGAGAGAGAGAGAAAAAAAGAAAGAAAGAAAAACAAACCACAACCAACCCCCAAAGTTCTGAGGTTTTAACTGTGAGATCTTGGGATCTAGCTAACTGCACAATATGCAACCATATACAGTTATTGTTATCTTTAAAACCTCCTTTAATAAGTTCTCTTTTTTATTTGTATTGCTGATAGTCTTGTTTGTTTTCTTCAGTCCTCTTACTGGTCAAATAGAGCAGTAACAGTTTGCAGGTCTTGGAGCGGTCAGGTCTGGAAGTACTGCTGCTTCGAGAAGTCAGGCTATGTAGGGCTATACAAATGTATGTTCTCATTTTTGGATCATGGGAGGGAGGGACGTATCATTTTGCAAAGTGGGAAACTTCTATCTGTTGGAGCAGTCTGGGTTCTGGTGCGATTTGTGAAATTTTACAGACATACTCATCTGATAGGAATCATCAGAGCCACTATAGAGAACCTGCATCACTGGCAATTACCCCTACAATTGTATGATCCTCCTTAGGCTGATTAAACTAGCTTAGCACCATACTATTTAAGTGGCACCAGGCACAGCAGCTGTACTTTGCTGGAGACGATATGCTGAAACTCTGAGCTGATATGAATTTTAGAAGACTACCTAAAAATCAAAATTTAAAAAGGCCATTTTTTAGTGGCTACTATGGAAAATAAACACTGCATCACTGAGATTATTGGTTATTATTACTATTGCTTATGTTACAGGGTGCACTGCAAGCTCTCTTTTATAATACTCTTACACCTGACATCTTTCTAGGTAGAAGTGTGAGTTTTAGGTCAGTAGAGAGGACTCTGAAGTCAAACAACAGTCGGCGGCTGTGGGAGCATAACTCACGATCTTTTGACTCCTGCCAAAATTAAGTTTCCAAATCAGGAAAGGCTTGTACTCCTGCATTTGCAGCATACTGCTTGACTGGGAGCAGGCAGGCTGATTCAGTGGACATGCTGAATGTTCCCAATATTCTTCAAAGATGTTTTGTGCTTTTAAAAAATTCCTATTAAAAATAAAATGTCTTTTTCATTGTGGGCTTTTTGTGGGGATTTTTTGTGTGTGTGTTGTGGTTGTTTTTTTTTTCCTTTTTTTTTTTTTTAAAAAAAAAAACAGGTAAATGCCAATACAGCAGAATCAGTTACTGCAGAAGAACGGAAGTGTCAAACCCCAACAAGCATGTTTTTGTTTGTTCTTCTCTAAAGAGAGAGAGAGATAAAAGCTGGTTATGACTCTGCCTCCTGAAAAGGTAGGGACCTAATTACTTGAAGTGCAGAAAGAATAAATACTGCTTCTTTGATGTAGCTATTAACTCGCTGCTCCCTGAAACCAGATGGAAATTTCTCATTTACTCCACCGCGTTTTTGGACAACAGCCCTTGGCTACTTGAGGGAACTCAACACAACCCGAGACCACAGTACAGCTACACATACCTACTGGAGTTGTTGTATTAAGATGCTCAGTGTCTCTAACTGGGAATTTCATTTAAGAAGAAACGGAGCGTTTCAAGATTTAAAAAGCATTTAAACAGGGAGGGAAAGCGCTGGCTGCAGTCCTGGCACCCCCATTCCCTGCTCGCTGAGCGACTCCTTTCACTCCTCCCTGACCCGCCGCCTGCTGAAGTTTTCGAGTCCTCCCTACCCCGCGGAGCCCACCCGGGGGACTCCCAGCACCGGGAAGCAGAGCCAGGTGTGGGCCCTGGAAAACGGCGGCGCGTAGGCAGCGCCCGCGGAAAGCGGGTACTTGGCCGCGCCAGGGGAGCAGCCCGTCTACGGAACGAAGAAGCCACAGCAGCCTCCGCCTCCCGCCCGCTCTCCTCCCCCTTCGATCTCTCCCGCCTTTTGTGCGCCGGAGCCCGGGCGCCAACGGACGCAGGGCTGACAGAAGCCCCCAGCCGCTGGCTTCGGGAGCGGTGTTGTGGTGAGAGCGGCAGCTCGATCCGCGGCTGTTCCCGTAACCAAGGCGCTGCCTAGCGCACACGGACAGACACAGACAGACACAGGGCGCGGAGTGGCGCGGGCTCCGCGCTGCCTTTGCAGCTTTTCTCCTCCCTGCACCATGCTCCGCTCCTGGCAGCGTCCGCCTGCTGCTCCCTGAGGGGGAGATATCCCGCCGCCGCCCCGCGCCCAGTTAAGCGGGCGACTGACACCCGGCTACCCGTTCCCACCCCCCCGTTACCTGAGTTAGCTCCGTCCCGGAGACTTCGGGCTGCCGCCCCTCCGCAGCGCCTCCCCCAGCTCCCGCTGTGGCAGCCTTTGGGCGGCGGAGAGTGAACCGCGAGCAGCCAGAGGGAGTGCAGCCGCCGCCGGGGGAGAGGAGCTCCAGCCCCCGCCTCCGGAGCTTCTCATGGCGTCTCACCAGCAGACCAGGATCCAAGCCTACCTGGAAAAGAATAAGATCGGTCCCCTCTTCGAGGTAAGCTGCACACTTGCCGGCCGGCTTCTCCGCGGCGGGCAGCGGTAGGGGTGCCCCCGCGATGGCCGCGGCTCCCCGCGCAGCACAGGTGAGCGCAGGGGCGACGACGAGTTCGAGGCGCAGCTTCGGCGCCTGCCCGGCCGGGGAGGGGGCGACGGGGCACCTTCTGCCTTGCCCTGCCTTGTCCTGCCCCTCCATGCGTGTGCCCTCGTGTCCCTTCTCCATGCCCCTGTGGGTGTCGGAGCTCCGGGACCCCTCCGGAGCTCCGGCGAGCGAGCGGGACCCCTTGCCCCGCCACGGACGCACCGCCCTCCGGTTCACACGCACCCGCGCGGGTCGTGAAACAGGTGCCCCATCGCCCTCCCACCAGCGGCCCCAGGCTCCGGAGGCGCCCTCTCACTTCGCCTCGGCGGCCGCGGCGCCCCGCGGCGTGGGACCGCGGCCCGGTCCCGACTGACCGTTCGTGTGCTGCTTGGGGAGGTGGCGCTCCCAAGGCTTCGCTGTCTCCAGGGCGGCAGCGCTGAGCCGCGAGCGGGAGCAGAGGCGCTGTCCCTCCGAGACCGGCTGAGCGAGGAGAGAGGTGGATGCCTCCCCACCGGGAAAGCCGGGCACGCGGGGGGAAAGCTGTCCTGCGCACAGCCCGGCCCGATGGTGTTTTCTGAGATTTTCATCTGCAGTCAGACACTTGGGAGCCGTATTTTTTCGATACAGTTTCCGTGGTCTCACAAAGATGCACTTGCTCAATTTGTAGATGCACAGATGTGCATATTTTACTATTTCTGTGCATAAGCTATGAATACTAAAGCAATCGTGATTGTTACCATTTTATCATCCTGTTTCTCATACAGTTTTTACATCTAAATGCACATATATTATACTCTGGCATTATTATCCCAAGACACAAGTCTGCCTTTTTCAGTATTTAACTTGTTCTCAATCAAGCTTACTATGTACAAAATCTCTTTTATTCTGGTGTGATGGATTCCATGTCTTCAGTGCATGTTTTGGGTAGCCAACCCTCATAGGAAGGGTTCAAATTTTCTTAGGGATCTGCTCGCCAAGGGCCAGTTTTTGTATTTAGCGTGGGCTGAGGCTGTTGTGACAGGTTATGTTGGCTCAGTGTCAGAGGTGTTAGATATTTTCATTTTACAATGAATAAAAGCCCATTTGGTGGAACGGTAACTGGGTACGAGGGAACAGCAGATGATTTTTCTGGTTCTAGAATTCATAGAAACTGAAACATTTGTGCAGTTCAATTTCTGAATAAAAGGCTGTTCAATCAACACAGTTGCTAGGGCTGTATACGTAACTGACTCCCTTGTATTTCAATGGGAATTAAGTGCCTTGGGGTTGTTGAGGAGTTAGGTGCCTGACAGCTGTCATTTTCTTCTAGATTTTCTTAACCCGTTGTTTTACACATTAAAATTCAAACAAGCTACTTGACATCACTGTTCTGAGTCACTGTCTTTTAACCAAGTTTCTCAGTAGTGTAAGAGCTCTATGTTTAAATAGTAGGATGCTTTAGTTATTAATAGTGGAGGAAAGAAAAGTTGTATTTGTTACAAGGTTTCATGTATCACTATATATTTCACTTACCACTGTAATGTAGGAATTTAATTGATAGAAAGAATCCATGGAAGACTCTCCACATAACTGTGCAGGTTGTCCACAGGTTGTTAGTGCACTCCAGTGCACTAAGTGTGACCAGGAAGAAAATTCTTTGGTCAAATCAACTTAGACCTGAATACTAGAGAATGGATTTAAGAGATAAGGCCGTAGCATTCATGTAGCTGTTTAAAGTTATTTTAATCATTAACACTGGAAAGAAGAGGATAGTAGATCTTATCACCTCCACTTCCTGATTAGTCATTTAAAATATATATTTTATTTTGGTGTTGTTTTTTTTTTGTTCTCAACACTTTTTTGAAGATGTACAACCTTTGCCTGATCTTGCAGCCATCATTAATGGCAAGACACGTATTTGAAGTTGACAGAAATTGATTGAAAACTAAGCATAGGGTGAAGCTTATGCTCTATACTAGTATTCCTATTATATATGTATTGTGGTGTATCAAGAATACCATGTGGTGTTCAGAGTCAGACTGTATTGTGTTTGCGTGGCAAGGTTCTTGTAGTAGGGGGGCTACAGGGGTGGCTTCTGTGAGAAGCTGCTGGAAGCTTCCCCAGTGTCCAGTGGAGCCAATGTCAGCTGGCTCCAAGACGGACCTGCTGCTGGCCAAGGCTGAGCCCATCAGGGACAGTGGTGGTAGTGCCTCTGGAATAACATAGTTAAGAAGGGTGGAAAAGTTACTCCGCAACAGCAATTGCATCTGGAGAGAGGAGTGAGAATATGTGAGAAACAGCTCTGCAGATGCCATGGCCAGTGAAGAAGGAGGGGAGGAGGTGCTCCAGGCACTGGAGCAGAGGTTCTCCTGCAGCCCATGGTGCAGCCCACAGTGAGGTAGGCTGTGCTTCTGCAGCTCATGGGGGTCCTTGGTGGAGCAGGTTCCACCTGCAGCCTGGGAAGGACCCCACGCCGAAGCAGGGTGTTGCCTAATGGAGGCTGTGACCCTTTGGGAAGCCCTTGCTGGAGCAGGCTCCTGTCAGGACCTGTGGCCCCGTGGAGAGAAGACTCCTTGCAGAGCAGGTTTGCTGCGGGACTTGTGACCGTGGAGGGGACCCAGGCTAGAGCAGTCCGTTCCTGAAGGGCTGCACGCTGTGGAAGGGACCAACACTGGAGCAGTTTGTGAAGAACCTCAGCCCATGGAAAGGACACATTGAATTTCATGTGGGACTGTCTTCTGTAGCAGGGATCTCATGCTGGAGCAGGGGAAGAGTGTGAGGAATCTTCCTCTGAGGAGGAAAGAGCAGCAGAGACAATGTGTGATGAACTGACCACAGTCCCCATTCCCCATCCCTCTGTGTCAGGAGGGGAGGAGATAGAGAAATAGGGAGTAAAGTTTAGCCGGGGAAGAAGTGGAGAGGTGGGGGGAAGGTGTTTTTATCCTACTCCAATTTGACTGGTAATGAAGTAATTTCCCCAAGTCGAATCTGTTTTGCCCGTGACAGTAACTGATGAGTGATGTCTTCCTGTCCTTATCTTGATTCATGTTTTGTTACGTTTTTCTGTCCCCTGTCCAGCTGGTGAGGGGAGTGACAGACCGACTTTGGTGGGTACGTGGTGTCCAGCCAGTGTCAACCCACCACAGGTATATTCACTAATGCGTTGGATTTTTGTGTCTCTAACAGTTCTGAAACACTGAGAAGAGACTTGTGCTTAGTCTTTCATTTGGCAACAGCTAGCATTTTCTTCCACCGCTTCTGGTTTTGATGCTAATTAATCAGTACTCATAATTTTTTTCTGCAGTGAGTACTCATTTTCCAATACTGTGTCAGAACAGAGTGGACTTGGATTCAGTTTTCTGCAGTGTTATTTGCTGAGCAGGTTGTGACTATAATTTCTCAATATATGCTTCAAGCCAACATTTTAGGGAATCCATAGAATAATAAAGGGTAATTGAGGGCAGTCACAGGAAAGAAGAAAGTGGAGAGAGGACATGCAGGCTTTATGAGGCGAAGACAGGGATGGTGATGCATAAACAGATCATATTGCATACCTGCATAGTGAATGATCAGTAATGAGGAGGATTTTACTCCGTAGGTTTAGAAAATTATGCAGGCGCAGTTAACTGGATTGTTTCCTGATGATGAAGTACAATTCCCCTCCATTACAGGCAAGAGCAGTAGATAGTTGCCATTGGTCATTATGTTCAAATTGCTAGCAGTTTTCTTGGTAGTGTCTCTTTTAATCTGTTCTGTCCTGTATTTGTGGCCTTCTGTTATTCTGTTACTGTGGTTAGGGCCTTTTGTATTTCATTAACCAGGGTATCCACTTAAGAACTTTCTGTTCTTTTGGTTTTCATCTTTTGGAGGACTTCATCTCTCTCTTTTTTTTTTTTTTTTTTTTTTTTACCTTTGGTGCATGCTGCATATGAGAATGAGTTCTGTTTTATTTCTTTGCTGAAGTTTTGCATAGTTTGACTCTTGAATACTTCTCTTTTACACAAATTAGAAAGATAATCCTTTCATGCAAGATGCAGGAAGACTGTAGGCCCTCCCTTGTTTAAAAAGGTATTTTCATCTAGATAAGAAAGGTAGGACTAACCTTCTGGAGAGAGAATTAATGAATTTAGTCTGACTCAGCAGACATCAGTCTTCTACTCACTAGTGGTACCTGTTAACAGATAGTAGGAAGTCCTCTCCACTCAGCTATGAATGGTAACACACAGACTCACTTGATTCCAAACATATTTACTAGTTAAATCCTTATTTATGGCTTAGAGGTGGGAAGGAAGGTGGGTGGGAATTACATCTGAGGCTGTATCAATTTTCAGATTTAAGACAGATTGCAAAACAACTTCAACACTTCAGCCTCATCTCCCCCTGTTGAGTGTAGGTCCTCAAATCATGCTTTTTTCAAAACTGTTACTTCTTTGCCATTTCATCTTACAGGTTTTTGCAGGTAAAATTCCTGTGAGCCTATAGGTGAACTTCTAAATGCTCTAGGGTGTGCAGTTGTTAGTGCTGGCAGTAAGGTCTTAGGTTAACCCCTTCAATTCTGCCAGGTTTCATGTGCTGGCTTATTCTATGTAGGTTTTGTCTGTTGTGGGTTGTTTTTTTGCTGTTGGTTTGTTTTTTTTTTCTTTCACTTTTGAAAGCTTAGACATCTTTCTGTAAGAGATTATTGGCATCTGAGAATACTGTGGTTAGACACCTAGTTTAGATTTGAGGAATGCCCTTTAGAAACGCCTCTTCTGGGTTTTTTGTGGTAACGTTGCATAGCACTACCTAATTTTTTTTAGATTTTTTTTTTTTACATTTAACTTGGAATGTAACAAGAATTCTAAATATGAATTATTTCAGCAATGAAGCTTCACTGTTGGGTTTTTGTTTTTTTTTTTTTCATCTTTCTAAAATGTGAACAGAAGGTGTATGCCTAAAATTGGCCGGGACAGAGTATTCAGAATCAGCACCCACTCATTTCTGTCTGAGTGAAGTATTGACCCACTTTGCATGTCAAGCATCTAATCCAACAAAATCTTTGTGTGCTGATAATCTCAATGAATAATCTTGGTGCCTGTGAGTATCCATACATGCAGACTTTTGCATTTCTGTACCCCTTTGGCATCCAGTTGTGTTGTCATTTTGGCAACCTGGCAGTTTCTGTGAATTTGAAAGCTGGATCAGCACTCTTAAGAACAGATTGCAATAAATGTACAAAGAGCTCTGAGATAAATTTAGTGTTTTGGAATTCTCTTATTTATAGAACTGCAGCCAAAAAGCATCCCACAGGTACATGTTGTTATGCAAACCAAAAAAAAACCCTCCAAAAATCTCTTCTCAAAATAAACATACCAACCCCTTGATTACCTAAGAATTTTTCTCAAAGTAATGTGGGTTTAGAACTATAATTTTTATTTTTAAACAACACAAAGGCAGTGTTCATATTACTACACTTACCTCCTTTTAACAGACAAAATTCCTGAATTAAAATAATATGAAATAGGGTTTTTTTTTTAATTTATTTATTTAT